TCTGACCCACTGGTTAAAAACTTTTCCATTGCGTGAAGACTATTTACTTTTAATTAAGGCTTGGCGGTCATGATTATCAGTTGTTTTGTCTGCTATCATTTTCTAAGGGATAATAAACCCAAGGAATACTGGCATTATATTCATCAACTTGATGACCTGCCGAGTCTTGGTGCAGCGAGGTCCAAAAGTTATTCCCTTATAGATACATATATATATTTGAATCATCTAGACATGAGGTTCGAGAAACACAAAGCGGGTAAATTGGGAAAATTAAAGGTAAGTAAATCTTTCTTTATTATATTCAAAATGAATACTTATTTAAAGAATGCGAGGTAATTAATTTTCATCCTTTGTTGTCAGCTGCCCAGCATAAGGAACCACAAGATGAATTCTGTAGATGATAAATGGTGGTTCGAATCCCGTACAGGCCTGAATTTTTTTCAGGTCTGATTTTCACTATTGCTTAAATAGTGCTTTACTGCGAAGGATCGTGCACATATACGTTTCATAACCGCAGTTCATATATATGTATTTCATATGTTTGTTGTTTGATTTATCATCTACGGGTTTATGTCGAATTAATTTGATGGCCTGCTCCCAGTTGGCTTGTTAGCTCAATTGGTAGAGCGCTGCACTAGTATCGCAGAGGTCAGTGGTTCGAATCCCGTACAGGCCTGAATTTTTTTCAGGTCTGATTTTCACTATTGCTTAAATAGTGCTTTACTGCGAAGGATCGTGCACATATACGTTTCATAACCGCAGTTCATATATATGTATTTCATATGTTTGTTGTTTGATTTATCATCTACGGGTTTATGTCGAATTAATTTGATGGCCTGCTCCCAGTTGGCTTGTTAGCTCAATTGGTAGAGCGCTGCACTAGTATTGCAGAGGTCAGTGGTTCGAATCCCGTACAGGCCTGAATTTTTTTCAGGTCTGATTTTCACTATTGCTTAAATAGTGCTTTACTGTGAAGGATCGTGCACATATACATTTCAACTTTGTTGATATATCTAAATTATAACATTTACATAGCTTTCAAACACAATTAACAGAGCACTAAAAACAAAGGAAATCAAAAACATAGTACAGCACAGCACTACAACTATAAATTGAATGACTGCCTGCAGATTCTACAAAATTATTGGTATGTTCTGTATCCTTCCAAGGTTGTTGAAGAGCTGAGTCAAGTGGAGGGATTGAGCAAGATTTTAGTAGCTGAACATGAAGCATACAAAGGCTTCTTACCAGGTAACTAGGGGGAATTTTTGAAATGAAAAGCTTTACTTTTATCAAAGCTTCATAGTGCTGTTTGTATTGACTAGATAAGTGGGTCCAGTAAGTGCAGAATTTTATTTCACCTGGAGTGCACATTCAGTTGTACACTGTGTACACTGTAATTATTGTCAGGCTTTAAGTGTGCCAGAGAACTTCATAGTTACATAATTATAAAAATGCTTCTGTCTCAATGTTGCTTGAAATCTTCATGATTTGTAATGTTAGAGTAAAGTGCACCCTTTATCTTTATACAGAGGTTTTAGCTCCACTTGTTGTTGGAACTCATAAGCAGTTCAACTTTTCTCACATTACTGCTGGTGCAACAGCGATGGGAAAGGTACAGTTTCATACTATTGTATTTTAATTAAAAGAAAAGGCAAGAGACTGATTTCACCTAGGTTAGATCACATTGTCCATGATTGAACATGCTTATCCCACAGTGGTAACAGTTATCTTTTCTACCCTGCTAATCTTTTCTCACAGTCTTAAAATATTTTTTTTTCTTTTTTTTGTTTTTTTTTTTCTCCTTTATTCCCCAGAATGTTCTTCCTCGTGTGGCTGCATTGTTGGATGTGGCTCAATTGCAGGACGTGACAGAGATTCAGTCAGAGGACACATTTGTGCGAACAATTTATGCAGGTACATGGTTGTATTGTTTGTTTGACCTCTAGATCTTAGACTCACTTTACAGCTAACTTTGCCTTGAAGCATATATCTTGTTTAGGTAAATTTTACACTACATAGACTCGTTGCTTTTTCAAGCCGAATAGTAATTTGTTTTACACAGCAATGTAATATAAAGGAAACTTATAGCACTGAATAACAAAGACACATAAGTTGTGCATTTTTTTTTTCTGTGCATGTAAAAACATTGTATATAATGTGCATCTGACTACCCTGTGTCTGAGTGTATGAAATGCATCTGGGTAATCTTGTCTCTCTCTCTCTAAAGGTGATGCCTATATTGTAAACCATGCAATTATTTTCTTTTCTGTGTGTGTGTGTGTGCTAGGCAATGCTGTTTTGACATGCAAAAGCAATGATAGTGTGAAAGTGTTTACCATCAGAGGAACTGCCTTTGAAGCTGCCAAAGCTTCTGGTGGGGGAGTTGCAAGTGAAAATGGTAATGAGCTACATTTAGGCCATTTTAAATTCATAAATTGTTGTTGTTTTTTTTTTTGTACTGATATACCTAAATGTTGCCTTGTCAATGACTAGATGCTAGTAATTAAGTGAAGTGGAATTAGTACATGAACATGTAGGTTCTACTGGGCTTTTTCTTGTTAGTAGTAGGGGACATGGAGTCCCAGTACTTATTGTGCTAGACTCTGGGTGGAGAGGTGCTCTACAGCTCCATGCCAAAACTCTATAATCTCACAGGGACTCACTTCACCAAGTAGTATGAAGTGGCACTGACAAGCTCTCAGGAGAACCTGATGAAAATGTTGGGTTAAGCTGAGATGGACTAGCATTCCATCCAGGGGGGAGTACCGGTAGTAATGCTCTAAGTCACATTATGCTACAGAAACTAGAATAATATCTGGCCAGATGAGTCACTTGGTCCAAGTGCTTACTTGACCTATTGGTTATTGAGTAGCAGTATACAGCTGACCTTGTTGTTTACATTCCCCACAGCACCTACTGCAGAAACAGGCAATGATCTGTCATCATGGGTTGGGGAGGAGTTGAATGTTAGTGACAGACCAGAGTTGACAAGTGCCAAGGTTGTGGTATCTGGAGGCAAGTGTCTAGTTGTGTTTTACATCCAGGTGGTGTTGTACATTATTTTATTTGCATGATGGCTTGGTTAATAATTCATTTTCAAACAGTGTCTGGGATTTAAAAGAAGTTGTATATATTTTTTATTTATATTTTAAGTTGATAACAAGACCCCACAAGTCTCTGGTTTTAAATATTTATCATGTTTAAATAAAGATGTATTATTATTATTGTTATTAACTCTATTATTATTATTATTATTATTATTATTATTAAACTTTGCAATGGAGAAAAATAGTGGCTATTATGGGTACACGTCATTTCATAAATGGTAATTTCTTTCAGGTAGGGGAATGAAGAACGGAGAGAACTTTGAAATGCTCTATAAACTGGCTGAAAAAATGAATGCTGCTGGTAGGTTAAGTGAATGTTTTGCAAGTAAATCTTAAGTTGTTAATGTTTCAATGTGGCATTACAGTTTATTGCCCAGTAGGGATACGAGTTACATGTATGTTGATAGAAATTCTTTTTTTGGTGCAGTGGGTGCCTCCAGAGCAGCTGTTGATGCTGGATATGTACCTAATGACATGCAAGTTGGACAGACAGGCAAAATGGTTGCCCCAGTAAGTCAACTGTGGAAACTGCCTGTAAATGCTGTTGTCAGTTTAGTGATGTAACAAATGATATGTAGTCCAGAGGACTAATTTATACCTTGATGAATGATTATTGTTCACTGTGTCACTGCATTGTTTATGTGTATTTCTATCATGTGTTTTACAGGAACTGTACATAGCTGTGGGTATTTCTGGTGCCATCCAGCACTTAGCTGGCATGAAAGACAGTAAGGTGAAAGACCACTGTTTTTGTTTTTTTTGTGACATGTAGGTTTGAATAACTATTCTGTTGTAAGTATTTGCAAACTTACCACTGCGAACCTTTTTTTTTTTTTTTTTAACCATAGACTATTGTTGCAATCAACAAGGACCCAGAGGCCCCAATTTTTCAAGGTTGGTAATAGTTATGTTGACACATGCTCTAGTATGATACCTACAGTAGCAATAATTTTTACCAAAATCCCTTTTTTATAGCAATTCTAGTATAGTAGAACAATAGACTCATTGTTACTCCAAGGTGAAGCCATCTGCAGATTACTGCCCTTTGGTGATACATTGTAGATGTCTCCCTTAGTTTCAGCAGGTGCACTCCTTCTCTGAGTTTTCTTTTTTTGATGCATTGTAGCCCTCCAGTTTGCCTCCACTGATTGGGTGTGGCTTACTTTGGTATTCTTGTGCAGTATCTTACTTTGGTATTCTTGTGCAGTATAAGCTTCTGACCTAACCTACAGTAGTTTCTGTATCAATCTCTTCTTGCACTACATTTCCTGCCCCATTTATTTTTAACTTTTAAGTCCTAATTTGTACTTTGCTTTTTATCAGTTGCTGACTATGGTTTAGTGGCAGATTTATTTAAGGTATGGACAGGTTTATGAGATCACAATACTGTACTGTCAATTCATCCACCGTTGTGCAACATATCCAACTGTGTTCATAAGTCAACTGTGTAAAGCAGGGCACAGGGCAGGCTGGTATACTGTGCATTGTCACATTCACACCCACCAAACAAAAATTAAGAACCTAATTTAGAACCTAGGTAGTCTAATTTCACAGAATATACCATTTATTTGAGAATCTACAGAGGCTAACTCGAAAAAACCGGGGTTCTTACATGAGGGGTTTTACTGCACAATAGACAGAGTGTAGCTTTCGTTTTTCGTTTGGGGTGGGGGAGGGTTTTCAACTAGGAACCACTCAAATGTTACCATCATTATTTCAACAGGCGGTTCCTGAACTAACGGACAAGATTTGATTGGATAAATGACATTTTTGTAAACCGGAAAACCCTGGCACTGTACAGCTCTATGAAAAACACTGGACCGATAACGATGATGCCCATTGCATTTTTCAAACTTAAGTGGTTGACTGGATGTAAGCTAAGGCTTAGTGTTTGTTTTGGAGAATAAAATATTGACTCTGTTGCCTTGTGTGGGTTTCTTCTAAATACCCGCGGCCTCGGCCCCAGGGAAGGACGGTCAGCACAATGCAATTTGGCTCTAAGTCGATCAAACTATCATAGGCCCAATTAAATTGATCTCATGTTATTTTCATAGAACGAACAACCTAACACCCCGATGTAAGATAAACAACAACTTGCTGTCATCATTTCTTGATGTTTTACCAACATTTTAGTGTTATTAGTTCGGTGCATCGAACCAGCTTGTCAAAATATTTACTCTTCAGATGGCGCGGACTTGGAAAGCACTTAACGCGCATTCAAGCTCTTATGCTCGACTGCTTACGGTCAACGCAGTTTGGCTACGCGAACAGCAGCACCCCTGAGAGCCCAAACTAGCAGTCTCTGTCGCTTTTCATTAAGATTGTCAACGTCAGCGAAGAGGTGTCACTTTAAGCTTGTCAAGATGAATCGGATTTTGCCCAGACTAAGTTAAGATCTCTTGTCTGACCTTATCTGTTAGCCCGGGTCTGTTACCAACTTACTTGCGGAAAGAACCTTTTCACACAGCACGCGCTCGAAATAACACTGACGTGGTAAGGGTAAAGTTCACTACTCCATGCATTGTGATTGGCAGTGAGCCACACGTAGGTTAAAGTTGATCTTGCGTCACAGAGAGGGTTTTGAATATTTACCCCTCGAACTTTAGCTCGGCGAACCACAGAAGGTCCCGCTTGGCATGAAAGAGGAACCATGGCGATTTTCCTAAAGGACCTTTTGGTGGAACCTGTCTCTACAGATTGGCTGAAATTTGCTGTCATTTCAAATTCACTCTGTATGTTGTGAATTTGGTAGGACAAATCCCGGGAGCTAAGATTTTACAAGAAAATATACTCCTAAAAGAGGCATCAGAAGATTGAGGTTAGTCGCGAGATTAGCAAAGACGACCAAAGACAGATGTCCAAGGATTTTGTTTTTCAACAAACACGCATTTTAACTGACGATCTTCCTCTTTCAGGCTTGAACAGGAAAAGAAATGTCTTCGGTTCCAATCAGTACAGCCTACGTCGAGCGAATGCGTACAAGTGCAGCGAAGGATGGTAACAAAAGGGGATCTTTAAAACAAGGAAAAGTTGCCGCAACGGAAGATAGTCGTGGCGCGACGGAGCCTTACTTCAATCATTATCCTGTGGATGCGCAAATGAAGTGGGAAGCCACAAAGATATTGTTTTCGTTTATGTCATGAACAGGGCTTGGATGTGACTACGGATCGAAAGGTAGCTTTCATATAAAAACATTCTGACGATCTCTGAAGAGGACCGGACCACTTAAATATGAATGTGGCGAGAAAAAAACATCGGATCAATTACTTTATTTTTATTTCAAAAACTGAAAATATGGTGTCTTAGGCAATACAAGGGCGAAAGAATGAGGAACTAAATTTGTGAACTTAACTGTTACCACAAGGGACAACTCAAAATTTCGTTCGTCTTAATCCAATTTTATCGCGGCTTGTAAACATGTATTGGTCACGAAATGGGAAAGATTTGCATTCGTTAATTACCGCGATCTTCGGCTGGGAGTCTTCGGCAGTGATATTAACCCAAATTTCTCGCAGTTTGTAAACATTTATTGATCACAGAATGGGAAAGATTTGAATCCCCTGCTTAATTTGTGTCTGCGAAATATTGGTCAGGGTGTTCGTGTTGGGATCCTTAAGAATTTGAATAAAATTTCTCGGTCTGTGTAACAGAGTTTTCCGGTTTTTCTTTTACATATAATCATGTGGGAGAGGCGAGTCACGAACGCAATTTTTTGTCGAAAGGAGAGTCAAACAGAAATGAATGTTATCTTTGCAAAAACGTAATTGTCTTAAGAAGACTGCTTTGTACACATATTCAGATATCACGCATGGTTTTTTACTCTTCATCAAGGTTAGAATTTTTGTTGTATGGTAGAAAACGAAAAAAAAAGCGATGAACGAAAACGAAAAAAAAAGCGATTAAGAATACGTTCCGTTTTAAAGAGAGGCTCACCAGTAGCTAAGGAAAATTTGTTACACGCAGTTAGGTTTATATACGATAGGAACCGCATTTTCTCCCAAACTAGAAATGGGTGAATATTTTCGTCGAATGTTTTAACTGATCCACCATCCAAAACGAAATTTTATAAGCTGTAGTTATTGAATAAACCGTAGTTAATATATATCGTGTTTTTACATTTTGATTGCACATTTATTTCGTGTAATATTTGTGCGGTTATGACCTTTTTCTTTCGGAGTATTTTTTTTTTTTTGTAGGTAGCAATCTTTCTCTCTTAAAATAAACCAAGTTGCGTCAGGTTATGATGTTATTTTGTTTGAATCCGTGATCCCTCATTTATCCAGTGACCCATATGATACCATAAGAGGAAATCTGCTGGCAGTGGGGTTGCTTGTTTGGTGCGCTGAATGAAAGTTACTCGTTAAAACACGACCATAAAACAGAATTGCTAATTTGAATTAATAAAGCAAAGAATCTTTCAATCTTAGTGCAAAAAGTATTTGTCACTCCAGTTTCGTTACCTGTAGAATTTGACAGCAATTCACATGCAAATTTTTTAAGCAGTTTTCATTTACGTTTCTTGCAAGCATTCTGTTTCCCTGTGGTTTGTTTTTGAGACGCAAATCTTGATTACTAACGATCTATTTTTCTAATGGGTAAAGACAGTGTAGTTCTTGTGACAAAAACTATCCAAATGTTTCCAGTAACGTATATTGGAAGCGAAAGTCTTTTTTACAAAACTCAGTTTTGTGTACACAGGTTTAATTTCAAAGGAAACTACAAAGGAAACTGAACAAACAAGGAGGAGCCCAGCCGGACTCGTACCCAGGTGTATCTCTACTTAAACAATATAGTGTTTTTGTCGAGGAACTATCGGCTGATAGTTGCCCCGCGGAAATTTGATGTTCTTAAAACAAATATTTTCCCGAGAAGCGAAGCTTCGAGGGCAAATATGTTAGTTTTAAGAACATCAAATTTTCGCAGGGCAACTATCAGACCGATAGTTCCGAGACATAAATACTCTATTGTTTTAATTGTTCACCACTGAATTTTCTTCCGCGCCTACAGCTTGTCACAAATGTCAGTAATTCACAACCGTACATTGGCTAAATAATACGTTATACCTGTCAGAATTGAGAAGTCACTGTTTTTCCGATCTGCCTAACCTCGCGGCCGTCAAACTATTCAAAACTTTTCACGGATGAGTACTATCATAGTCGGGCACTATCCATCCGGGTATTTTCCGTGGGCGGGCACTATGGGCTGATAGTGTCTCTCCACGAATGAACACTATCGCGTCACGTGATCGATTTAAACCAATAAGAACCGGAGAAAATTTAATGGTGAACTATAATTATCAAATAGATCAGGTGCTTGTGATTCGCGTGATAGTTAATGAGCCCTCATAATCTATCACGCATAGAAATCGAGAGTGAATATAATCGTCCAACTGTTTAATGGTCATTCAAAACTCAACAACAGAACAAGCTCACGTTTTTAATCTATTTTTTATTTTTACCAGCATACAAGGTTAGGCTACTCATTGTCTATCGCGGAACTGACAACGAATAGCGTGGACCAACACTCAGGGTCTTAAAATAACTGAGGAGAATGTGCTACCTTTCTATAACATCAAGAAATGGATAGAAATTCTAGTCTTCTCGGATAAGGACGAATAAACTGGAGGTCCCGTCTCCTGCATCTCTTAATTAGTTGATTTGGTTAGGCAGGGGACGTTAAAGAACACACTCACGAGATTACTGTGATGTGGTCAGGCCTGTTTACTGGGAATTGGGGGGAGGGGGCGTCTGTTAGAATCGCCTTTATTTGATTGTAAACTGCTTAGCAGTCTGGTAAAGTCCCCCGCACAGTGTTGTAAAGCGCCACTGGAGCTCAGGATATGAGCGCTATATAATATAAAGTTATTATTATTATTATTATTATTATTATTATTATTGTCATTATTGCCTTAGTTTGCCTTCGAGGATCGCAGGTGAAGCGCCGCGCTGCGTATGACTATAATAATTGTGACGTTGAAATCGCAGCTGCCGAGGGAGCCATTGACATTGTTTAATGATTTTTAGCAGCCTTGTATATAGGGTTCTAGGTTTGCCATTCACCTTTCTCTTTTCTGTATAGTTTTAGATATGCTTTTACTTATCAGATTATTAGACTTTGAATCTGTTCAGATTTGACTCCGTTATTTACAGTTTTCCAGACGCTTTGACAAAAAAAAAGGAGTAGATGTGAGCCGAAAGTGAGTTATTTGGGATCGTTTTTGACGCTGTTAATATTTTGTATTGTAGAGGATTTTATGGAAATTATTGCTAAATAAAACTAGTAGTTAGCAGTAAAAAAAAATCGTTATTGTCATCATTATTAGTAGCAGTATTATTATTATCAGATTGCAGCATTTGGACGTTAGTTAATTGTGCTTATTTCAAATAATGACGAGGGGAAGCCCGCGAGAAGTGCGCGGGGGGGTTGGGGGGGGGGGAGATCGGAAGGGGGAAAAGCAAGAACTATCCCCTCTCACGTACGCTGGTCTGTCGATTGAGACACACGCCAGAGATTAAGGGTGCAGCACCAGTCTCCGGCCGATATGGGAAAAAAGGAAAAAGAATAAATAAAAAAAATAAACCGACAGTCTGAGGCACACCCAATTTGCTTATAGACAGGCGGGTAGTTGCACAAATGCCTTACTCGCTATCCAGCACTAGACATACAAGTATTTAGACAGAAGTGACTGTAGCGCAGAGCGAGTTTTTACCATGGACTTCAGAAAGGCTTTCGATTTTGTAAACCATGCTATTTTGTCTGCCAAACTGAAACAGCTACCTCTAAATCCGTACATTATCAATTGGTATCATAGTTTCCTCTATGCAAGACAACGACGTGTTGTTAGTTATAATTTTTTAGGACAGTGGAATTCTGTCAATAGAGGAACCACACAAGGTAGTGTAAGCGGACCGCATCTTTTTAATATCTGTTTTGAATGATTTGGAGATTTTTTTAATGGTTGCCCTGTGCTTTTTAAATATGCCGATGAATTCACTATTCTTTCGCCTATCACTAGGAATAGTGACCCGTCTGCCGACCTAGTAGGACAGTTCTTACCATGGTGTAAAGACAATAGAATGGTCTGCAACCCTTGCAATTGTAAAGAGCTGGTTGTTAGAAAGCAAAATCACAATGTACTCTACTCTCCAATTAATAATACTCCCCAACGTGATAGCTTCGTTTTACAAGGAGTAACTTTACAGAGTGACGGAAAATTTTATGAGGATGTAAGAACCGTAAGCTTGTCAAAGCAAACAAGTGTCTACACGTCCTACGAACATTGAGAAAGGAACAGTACTCTCAAGCAGAGATTGATCATCTTTTTATATCCATTGTTTTGCCTAATTTTAGCTATGCGCTTTCAGTCTATGGGGCATCTGAGTCCGATCTTTCGGTTGTACAAAATTTTTTAGACCGATGTCAGAAACATCGTTCTATCTCATTTCCAGTTTTTATCAAGAACCTTTTAAACAAACAAGACCGAAAAATTTTGACGAAATTAAAATCAACGGATTGCCACCCCCTGAAAGACATCATTCCTGTCCAGAAGACATATGTACACAATCTTAGGAAAAAAGGCTGCGCACGCCCGAAAACCAGTACACAGCGCTTTATGAACACCTTTGTAAACAGGTTGATATTTAAGCTCTATTTATTGTAATGACATACTTTTTAATTCATAATGTGTATGTAGATTTCTATTGTAGTTTATCCGGATTCATTGTAACATAAGATATGTAGTTTTATCTTCTGATGGAATAAAGGCTTTATTATTATTATTATTATTATTATTATTAGACCAAGGTTTAACAGGAATTGCGAGATCGAACTAACTTAGAAAAGCATAGCTTCTCGTTGCGAATTGCCATCAAACAAGACTAGGAATTAATAAGCACGTGTAACCCAACAGAATCAAAGAGCACAAGGTTAAAGCACTTTATTTTTCGTATTATCATTCCATCTTCCCTAAGATTTTGTTCCTTGGCTATGGTTGTATATGGATTTAAGACACATAATTATCCTATATGAATAAGTTTAAAAATAAGTGTAAAATATTCAAAGATTGAAAAAAAAAAAAAAAAATGATAATAATAATAGGGCCAAAACATAAAAGAGATTCTGACTCAAATAAATTGGCAAAATTACTACCCGGTTATAAATCTTATGGGCGGATTGATTAACTAAAAATGTCGTCCCCAAAGAGACAACATCGTGGGAAAACCAATATTACTTAATAATTATTGTGCTTTGCCTTAATGAACAATCAAAATCTTCTTAAATATTACTTTTAGATCACCTGCATTATTGATCACGGAGATCAAACGCTGATTTTGCTCAGCTTGTAAGTTTTCCAAAATTGTTCAGATTCAAATAACCCTAACTAAAACTTAACTACCACACTGTTGTGATTCACGACCACCAACTAAATTTAACAATTATTAATGAACAACCTAAGTATAAAGAGAAGTCATAAAAACTACGAGACTATACGTTGAGTTCTGTTTTCCTTAATGGGCTCGATGACTACTGACCAGAAATTAAAATTTTAAAAAGGGGATGCTTTGAATGACTGTTTAACTTCATCTCGAGGGGGCATAAATCGATCAAATATAAATCTGTGTCAAAGCACTGTTATAAAAGTAGCACAATGACACAAGAACTGCTTGGTTTAGGATAAAGTGTTGTTGAAACTTAACGATTAATTAGCAATGTAGAGATTATTTCCGGAAGAGCACTAACTTTAACAGTCGTTTCAACAAGCAAAGAGAGAAGACGGACTTTAAAATTGAAGCAAATAAATCGCCAAATACTTTATGAGATACTTGAAGAATGAAGCTAAAAGTGACCCTGAACCGAAAAAAAGAGCTTAAGTTATAACTTTCAGAGAGGAAAGCAACTTGCTCAACTTAAGAAACTCTTTACGGTGGCCAGTTTACTTTATCAACTCAGTTGATCAAACCAAATTACTGCGTAACTTGTAATGGCTCCTATTAAGGCAGTACCACAGGTTCTTGTGAAACTTATCCCCCCCCCCCCCCCGCCACCCCTTTATTCATTTAAGGTTACCCCATTGCTCCTCTCGCCCTGGAAATATGTGTCATGTAACTAGGTGCGGTTTCGTCCAAGAAAAAGACACTCTTGGATTTAAAATCGATATGATTGATAACTCCGTCGTGTAGTCTTCAGCTGCACTATGTAACGAATCAAGACTTGGGACTCCTTGTACACGACATACTCGCTATGGCTATTGTAAACTTCACTGTTCTGCGTGATACGCACTCCTGCAGGGACAACAGCGCCGTATGGAGTGGTGACATCTTCACTTGGATCCGGGACCTCACTGCTGGTCAATAACACGCTGTCAAATCCCTCGGGAGCACTCTCGTAATAATCACGATCGTCTACGCTTTTCACGTTACCAAGAGCAACCTGATGAAACCGATGTAGATTCGGTTTGTAAGGAAAATGTCTCTTTTCAGTAAAAATTAATATCTAAATAATGTCATGATCTCTTGTTTCCATTTTTTAAATGCACGGTCCCTTCGAAGTCTGACAAACTCACCTCACAAAGAAAGACAAATGCAGCACCATCTCTTCTACGACTAACATAACCCATGCTCTTATCCAGACTGTCAGATGTGTAGATTCCCTGCAGCAAAAGGTAACACGATCAATATTAGTTTTGGCAAAAATAGCATCAAGTCAGTTAATCCGACTGCTTGGTTCTCGTTTACTTTGCTTGTAACTTGTCACCAAAGCTCGCACCATTCCCTCAACCAGTCTGATGCAAAACTGAATCTCACTGCGTCTTTCCTGCGCCTAACCCTTTAAATCAGATTCTTAATAGTCCATTTTACAATTGCAGTTTTGCTGACAAGCCTTTAAACAGGAGTAGGGGTTAGGGTGACCTTGTTATGATACACACGTTGCTATTTTTCAAATGTAAATTTATCTGTTAACATGTTAACTAGATACTGGTCTCTATCACAACAAGGTCACCTTTAGCCTCACCTCAAATCCAAGACTTGGAAACTAAGAACACATCTGTAAAATGACCTATTCTCTCCTTTAGCTGCTTTACAATTCCTTGCAAATTAGTGACAAGAATTTGGTGTTAAATCAAGATAACGACTTCTACCTGATAAATTTGAATATTCTCACTACCTGTCTGCTGGTTAATGTACGGATAATATCGGAAGAAGTTCCATGTTAGTCACTTTTGGGAAGCCCCTGTTTAGTTCACGTTCTTGTGATGCTTACGTCGTTCTGATTGATATTGCTTTGGTTCTGGTTTACGACTTAATTGAACAGCGCACTACCTCCCTTTTTATACTTTGTAATTCCGTCACACATAAAAGACAAGGAAATAACTTTTGAAGTCAAACGAGTTTCAAAGGTGTTTCTTTTAAGGGGTCACTCATTTCGGGATTTTCAGACAGTTGTGAAATTATACTGCAACCTTTGGAGGACCGAACTCAAAGTCAGTCCATGCAGTGCTTATTCAGCTGTAAAATGAGTGAATTAACATCGTCGTGCGTAACAACCCATTTTTTAAAGTATAACTCTTTTAAATGGTCCTCAATAACAAACCTTTCCTAAGGACCACCCTGAGCGGGAAGCCTCCGGTGGAGCAATTCTGAGGCCTTGTTTTAGGATCCCTATCATGTTGACTGTATTGGTTCCATGCCATAGTAGCCGGTGGTTACCAGGCACTCCACAGGATTCAAATCGCTCTGCCTCTCCAGAACGAGAGACCCTGAAAATACCGTCAACTTCAAAGCTTTGACATCCACCTGAATTCAAAACAAACTTTGTTTACTAATCAGGCATTTAGCCCCTCAGGAAGTCAACTTCGGTATGTTAGTCCGCAACTTTGTAAGTCCACCAATAGGTCCGCAACTCCGTTCGTCCGTCAGTCAGTTGGTTCAAGTCAGACGCTTAGGCAAGCAAACAGTCGTTCGGCGAGTCTGTCCGACAGTCAATGCACTTCGGCCAATAAAGTCATCGGGTCGTCAGATAGCCCCAACTGTCAGTCAGTCAGTCACAAGGAAAATTTCTGTTATAAACTGATTTGACAGTATAAATTGGCCACTACAAAGAGTTTATAAAGCGGACGTTTTGAGCGTTAGCCCTTCGTCAGGGCCAGTTTATATTATCAACTCAGTTGTGAAACCAAATTGTTATGTAATACCCCCCGCCCCAACACAGTTTCTTCAGAAACTTACCCCCCCCCCTTCATTCGTTAGTCAGTCAGTTAGTGTTAGTCATAAAACCAACTGGCCATTCAGCGAATTAGATGGTCCATCGATCTGAAAGTAAAGGAACCTGAAGGAAACCCACTTAAAAAATAATTAATACTGTAACTTACGTGAGTTATGTATGTACTCCAGTATCAGCTGACATTCATCAGAAGTTGGATCCAACAATTCTATGTGACATCCAAGGGATTTGTACACGTAATCCAACGGATTTATCTCTGAATGAATAAAGCGAAGCATTTCCATCTACTCAGTTCAATTTTATAGAAAAAAACCGTAACGCTCCTTCCAAATAGGAAGTCTTGCTACGAAACGAACTTAAAAAGTTGTTTAGCCTCATATAACACTCCTGTTATTTGGAAGGAAAGAGCAGCGACATAATTAAATATTCAGATACTTTACTTCCAAGTAATCGGCTACTTAAAGTGGCTAAGCTATTTCACTATGGCTAATTGACGACATTCAATTCGATACAACCAGTACGGTGACCTGGTGTAATATTAACTAGTAACATATAGTCTTGAAAATCTAGAAAAGTTAGAGAACGCACGAAACCGTGACCATTTTCATTAACTCGCTGGCCTCTTCGAGTGACTTGCATCTTATTTCTCTTTTCAATATCACCCCCGGAATCAAATATTAAAGTCAAGGGAAGAAAAGAAATGATGACCAACAAAAGACAGACGCTCTTGGTTGTTAAACAAATTCTCCTGGCCAGCACCTTAGGAAATGTATAGAGAACAGTATAGAGAATATGCATACTGATGTTAGGGTGGAAAGAGTTACGAATGCCAAAGTGCCTGCCAAACCCCGTCATACCTTTAGTCCTATATTGTGCACCTAACAAGATCTTACTGGCAAGAGCCAGTTCAGTCAAATTGTACAGGGCAGTCAGGTGTGTCTCGATGTCGGAAGCGTGATTCAACGGTTTTATCCTTTCATATGTATACCTTGCCATAGGCATCAACATGTAATATGTGCTACTGAGCTCGGCAACCTGAGAATAGAGAGGAAAAGTTTATGTTAAGGCATGGAGGAAGTGACTATCGAACAAAATGCCTATCCATTTCCCAACTGAATGATCCAGCTGTCCTGTACTGATGTATGGTAAACACTTTTAGAATTTAAGGTAAGGACAATGTACCTTTTCAAACTTCTCTTCTGTTCCTACCAGATTATATCTATCGATGGTGTCCACAATAGCTCTGTAAAGAGAAAAAGAGGAAAAACACGTTCTACACATAAGTCGCCGAGGAAGCAAGGAAGTCGTCACGAGTTTCATGTTATAGAACATAAAATAAATCCTCCTCGCTATCTTCTAGACATTTGTTATGATGTTCGTGGAGGGAAGTTGATTTTTAATCAGGATTTCGATAAAAGCCGGTCAGCGGTCTACCGCCGCCTATAAGACCTGTCACCGTCGTCTGTTGAGCCTGCGAGCAGTTTCACGTGTGTGGGTTTCACCTCACGGCCTATTTAACCGGGCACGGCCCCTTATAACACCATCAGCAGCCGCTTATGGAAAAAATAACTTAAACCTCTGGTTAAATCCAAACAACATTTGATCACAGATGTTATCTTCCAACTTTCCAAATTCCAATTCAATCTGGAAACAGTGGACAAGAGGAGCCAACCAGTAGAATGCCCATTGCTAAATTATTTATTTACTATTTATTATCTATTGTTTATTTATTTATTTATAACTTGTGTGCTTAACAAAGTGCCCTATTGTGGGGAGATAATACACACTGTTCACTTTTGTGACTAAAACGGTGTTAAGGTACCTTGCTTACACCAACGATTACAATTGCTTTCTATTTTTTCAATAAATTCTGCAATCTACATATTTATGCCCATGCACTGCTGTTTAGTTACTTACTTAATTTCTGTCAGTATTCCACGAGCCTTCTCGATAGTTTCGTTGGAGAGTCTTCCAAATGGCATGTAGTCAAGATCGAGTCGAAATGAACCGTAATCCACTGAGGACTTGAGCAATTCAAAATCGGTCTGAAAGAAAAGGAAAGTATTACTGAAAGTTAAATATTGCAGTTTATCATGATCTTCATGCGTTATTTGACATTTTTTAACATCTACACTGTAAGTGATTCAACAGAGGTATATCAGCAACTTACAATGTTCTTCAGCAACGACTGCAGCTCTTTACTCAGGCGCGATGCAGGACAACTGGTCAGCTCAAATGGCTTTAGAACCTCGCTTACTTGCTGTCGTTTGTTCTCTGGATTCTTTTCCGGCAACACCAGGGCATACTTCTTGGGTTTTTTCTGAAATCTGTGGAAAGAGTCACAAAACCCATAACCTTTTTTTTTTTTATTTTTTATTTTTTTATTTTTTTTTTATATTCACGCCTCAATTGAACTAAACACTGCCTTAAATTCAACCAAAAGGAAGGAAGGAAAAAGGAAGGAAGGAAAAAGAAAAGAAAAATTGAAACAAGGAAACAAAAAAAAAAAAACAGCAACACGAAATATAAAAGCCGGGGAAGTATCATGTATCTGCTTTTGAAAAGGGCACTTAACCATCCTTCATCCGCTCAGCTTTTCTGTCGGCACACAAATGAACAGAAAAATTAACGAAGGAGAATCATGGCGTATAAAATTTGTTGTCTTCCGAGACCAGCAAACATTGTTGACGACAATGATAGTTGTTTATGAGAAAGACTTAGTGGTCAATTGCAGTAACTTTCTCTGTAAAGCTAACTACTTGCAGCGAAAGAGAAGAGGACTGTAGAATACTAAGCCGGTGTCGCATTAAAGACAAGTACATCCGGGAGCTTGGAGAGTAAAGAGCAAGTATGTATGTATGTATGTATTTACAATATTTAGACAGGCCAGCCCGGTTCAGCTTAAAGCTGGTTTAAATGGGGGCCTGTACATCCCACTATCCCACCCCAGGGGAGGACATCCATCACACAGTAATCTCGTGTGTGGGAAATTAACGTCTCCTACCCCCAACCCTGCAGGAGACGGGACCTCCATTTATTCGTCCCTATCCGAGAGGACTAGAATATCTAACCATTTCTTGATGTTATAGAAAGGTAGCAACTTCTTCACAATTATTTTAAGACCTTGAGCGTTGGTCCGGTCGGGGCTTGAATCCTCGACCTCCCGCACAACAGTCCAGCGCACTATCCATTGGGCTAACTGGGCGGCGGGGAAGCAAGTGAGACTGTAGTGCGTGCGTTTGCATTGAAGCTCCTGTTTTTTTTGTTTTTTTTTTCATTGAAGCTCCTGTTTTTTCGTGACTTAAAATTCAACAAATCGCCTTACTCGTCTTTGTTTTCCCACTCATTTCCAGTCTTACTCTTGAAAATCTTCTTAAACTCGGCCGTAGCCATGCTCGCATCATTATAAGGGGTCCTCTGATGTTGACCATTGTCTCCAACACGGCCCCAGCGATTAAATAATACCCACAGCTCCTTGGCTTTGTGGTAGATGATCTGAAATCAGTAATGAACATTTCGTGATTAATATATATTAACTGACTGAGTAGGAGGACTGCACTAGAGAGGAAAATATTTGGCTCGATGTCATGACGTACGCACTGAGCGCAGCAACCGAAACCCAAATATCAACCTCTTCATATTTCTTCCTTCCCACGGGCATTTTACATACCCTGGGGCAATCTGCAAGGCCGTGTACCGGGTGTTATGCGCTCATGCATCTTGCAATTCGTCTTAGTCAATGAAGAAATAACTATTCATTTATGACGAAAATGCAAGCATCCAAGACTGGCGAAGAAACACCCATGCTTATTATAAAAATCGAAATGACTGCCTGACCTGCATCTTGTAGAAGTTATTTAATCCAAACATTCCGTACTTGACGTCTACTTTGGACATGAGGATGTCATAGGGAACATTTGTATCAGGGTCGACATAAACTTTCCTGAAAAACAAAATTATACTTAGCAAATGCATTCTCTGTCACATGTATGCCTTGGCTACCGACTACAAATTTTCTGTTTCTAATTACGAAGGGAAAAAGAATTTTGTGGGCAAGAAAGGTTTAACGCGTTCGACGCTGTTGAGTATCGAAAAATCTACGCGAGGACAAAGTTTAAAGTATTAGAATTCAACCTTACCAGATAGACAATTTTGTTTTACATTTTCTCGATTAAATCTTTAGCTTCGTTTGTTTTCAAGCTTTCTGCTAACCAGGTGTAACATTGCCGCTAAATCTCAGCATTATTTTGATCTAACTCTTTAACTCCCAGAAGTGACTCTATAGAGAATACTCAAACTTATCAGGTCGAAGTTGTTAACTTGATCTAACACCAATGTTCGTTACTAATGTACCAGGAAATGTGTAAGAGCTTGAGGGGACATTGCCCGCATCTGTACAGCCGGTGCCGTACACTTCTCCGCATCAGCCGGTGCTTAGCTTGAGGGGAGAATTAACAATCAGCCGATCTTGGGAGTTAAACGAACATTTTAACGTAACACCTGGGTTCTAAAGGGTACGATTGAGCTAACCGCCTCCCTGTTAGCTCAATGGATAGAGCGCTGGACTGTTGAGCGGGAGGTCGAGGGTTCGAGCCCCGGCCGGACCAACACTCAAGGTCTTAAAATAATTGAGAAGAATATGCTACCTTTCTATAACATCAAAGAAATGGTTAGATATTCTAGTCTTCTCGGATAGGAACGAATAAATGGAGGTCCCGTCTCCTGCAGGGTTAGGGGTAGGAGACGTTAATTTCCCACGCACGAGATTACTGTGTGGTGGATGTCCTCCCCTGGGGTGGGATAGAGGGGTTTAATGGGCCCGCGGTAATTGGCGTAAACTGTCGCGGTGTCCCTGCTGTCGGCGAAGTTAAATAAATAATGCAGTAAATGGTTTGAACCCAGGGGTAACATGTGAAGGTGTAGTCTGATCGTCCGGGTGAGTCTAGTCCTGAGAAGGACTGTTGTCGGTGGTAGTGACTGACGTTTCGACAACCTGTGCGGAAGTCATCATCAGAGTCAAGTGAATGATTGTTGTCAGTAGAATGTTCTTATTCCAGTTCGTGTGAAATGATCGGTTGGTTTTGCCGTGATGTTATTGGCTGTANAGGGACGAATAAATGGAGGTCCCGTCTCCTGCAGGGTTAGGGGTAGGAGACGTTAATTTCCCACGCACGAGATTACTGTGTGGTGGATGTCCTCCCCTGGGGTGGGATAGAGGGGTTTAATGGGCCCGCGGTAATTGGCGTAAACTGTCGCGGTGTCCCTGCTGTCGGCGAAGTTAAATAAATAATGCAGTAAATGGTTTGAACCCAGGGGTAACATGTGAAGGTGTAGTCTGATCGTCCGGGTGAGTCTAGTCCTGAGAAGGACTGTTGTCGGTGGTAGTGACTGACGTTTCGACAACCTGTGCGGAAGTCATCATCAGAGTCAAGTGAATGATGATGACTTCCGCACAGGTTGTCGAAACGTCAGTCACTACCACCGACAACAGTCCTTCTCAGGACTAGACTCACCCGGACGATCAGACTACACCTCCACTTAAATAAATAAATTAAAATTCTCTCACTAAACGATATCGTGTTCCGAATCAAACCCAACTGGAGAAAGTGGGGAAGAAAAATTTTCACTTTGTTTTATCACTGGTCCCACAATTGGGTTCAAATTTGAGAAATAAGGGAGTTTTAAAATATCATCGTATATTTCTTACCCGGCGCCCTCCATTCTGAAAGCTGGGTCTACACCGACTTCATCGTCATCGTCAGCAGGTTTATCCTGTTTTTTGGCTTCTTGGAGCATTTTTGCTGCATCATCTTTCGGGTCCGGTGTTGGACCTTCCCACAAATCATCGCTGGAAGTGACAAAACTAAATCCCGAGTCAAGATCCATTGGCTCTTCTGTGTCCTGTTCATGTAAAGGAGACTGGTCATTCGTTAAAGCCGGGGGGGGAAGGGGAATGAGTGATTTGGTTGTGTTACCATAAAATATTCCTGATCCCCCCATGGCTCTGTCTCCTATGACCCCCCTCATTGGCAGTTCATTGGAAGAAAATTACCCATAATCCCCCTTAATACTCTGTTGACGTCGACTGATTGTCTCTCCGTTTCCCCGACAAAATCATGATTGGTCCAGAAGTGAGGAGTTAAGTTAAAAATTTACGTGTTTTTGCCTGCCAGATAGTTACAGCCAGGTCTAGAACTTACAGAATAAAATATGTTGTTAAGAAAGCTTGTGTCAGCATTACGTGGCGCGCTCTGTAACCGTCACGTTTGATCCGGTGCTAGAGTGGACAGTGAGGAGGGGTGCGGGGTGGGGGGGGTGTCCTTTTGCTCACTCTAACTTCCTTGTTCTTACCAGTGTTATTAATAAGAGGACAGTTAAATTAAGCAAAATTAACCACAAAAAAAAAAAATAATAATAAAACAAAACAAAAAAAAAAAAGCAAAAACAAAACAAAACAAAAAAGAAAAAAAAAAGATATGGGGTGAAATCTTACTTTACACGCCTCCTCTTCTGGAAGAAGTTCTTCCAATACTTTTCTCATAACCCCAGACCTCTGTTGTTTAGCGTAATACAAAGGTGTATGACCCTCAGAGTCTCTGAGCGCAAGAGGTGCGTCAAAGCCGGCCAGAAATCTCACCAAATCAACATTTTCTGCCGATCCATACTACCAATAAAAAGAAAAGTCGCAAGTTAATATTCACTAGTGATTTTTGATAAAACCTCCCCTACTGCTCTGGCTTACCTGTTACAAACACAAAATTACCAAAACTACACTCACTGAAAAAATATGTTCTGAAGAAAAAAGTCAAACAAACACAAACCAACACACAGACCGACATACTGATGGACAGACACACACACAGATGGACAAGAAACAGACAGACGGACAGGCAGATGGACAAGACACAGACAGACACACCTACAGGCAGGCAGACAGACACAAACAGACAGATGGACAAGACGGATAGACAGACCTGCAGGCAGGCAGACAGACACAGAAAAACAGATAGATGGACAAGACACGGACAGACCTACAGGCAGGCGGCGAGCAGCTGGACAAATAGACCGGGAACTAAGGGATGAAGCGGGCAGGCAGTCAGGCTGCCAAAGAGAGGTTGGAAACAAGATTATGCATTACCTTTCTGTTGTTGACACAATGATGTAGAACTGACTTCCCGTCTTCATCTTGTAACGCGAGATCAACATCAGTTGTCTCTTTTGTCGCCCAAATAGACCTGTCATCTGTGCCAAAAATCAGCACTTTCACCATGTCAACTGTGTTGTTACGGATAGCTTCCATGACTGCTGTGCGACCATTGTGCTGAAGTAGAAACAATGGGGTGAATAAGTCTTGTCAGTCAATTAACTGTAAAACATGTAAAACGCTTTCAAAACCTATACGACCTTTCATGGCATCGTTTCTCGCTTTCATTTATGCTGCTTGGTGTTGACACACAATCAGTAAAACATAAGCTCTGAGAAAGAAATGAATTTTATTCCGGGGGAATGATTATTTCGCACGAAGACCAATCGAACTTTAGTTTCAGTACAAATAAATTTCAACAAGTTTCTCGAATTGTTGTTCAATCATCAACGAACTGTCGTTCTCAAAATGACAGGGGTGTGCATGAAGACGAATCGAACTTTTGTTTCAGTATAAACAAATTTCAACAATTTCCTCGAATTTTTGTTCAAACATCAATGGACTGTCGTTCTCAAAATGGCGAAATTCCGTGATAGTTAGAATTCACGCGCATCTTCACGAGGTTGGCTCGTAAATTCTAGGAGAAGTTCATCACGTTTCGCTTAAGTTAAATCCTGCATTGTTTTCTACACAACAGCGTCCTTTTCACATATTGTTCAACAATAGAAAAGTCGGTGTCCACAGTTGCTCACATTGTTCTGTATTTGTTAACGGAAAAGGAACAAAACATGAAAGACATTACCTTAGGAAAATTTACGGAAGCTCCATGTCTCAGCAGATCGACAACAACTTTCTCACTGAGTGACACTGCAGCCTCTATCAGAGGAGTTGTAGTGTCGCTGCTTTCTTCGCTGTTATCCCTCACTTTATAACACACATCCAAATTCGTTACGTGACACGTTGACGGGCTCACAAAGAACCTTGGAAAGATAATAAGATTCACAAAATTTTCTATAAAGCTGCTGACCATGCAAATTACAGAATTTTACTCCTCATTAAGCCAAGCCCATAGTTAAAAGTACTCGATCTCCTCTTGGTTGTTTTCTCAGTAAGTATACTTTCTTCCTGTGTTTAGACTGATATTCTATATTTTGAAAGAACTTACTCAATAAGTGTTATGATTCCAGTGTCTGTTTTGGAGAACACGGCAGCAAATGGAGTCACGCCATCTTTGTCCGCTACATCCACGGAAGAAGGAGATTGTTCTAAAGTATATTAAAGCAACAACGGAAACCGTTATGAACACAAGTATTGCAGAAGTTCTTTATTTGGAGGCGGAGTTTAAGGAACTATTTGAAAGGTAAAAGTTACAAGGGCTACACGCCAAAATTATCAACAATGTCAAATGCTGACATCTCTGTCAAACGTAATCTCGCTGCAACGGGTTGACAAAGATAGATAGTTGAAACGATCTAAGAAAAACTGAATTGAGTTGTTGCATTTTTAAGAAAAGAAGAGTGAGAGAAAAAAAATGGGTAATAGGTATGTCGAAAGCTTCGTTATCAAGCGAGAGCATGTGTAGAACAGACAGGTTTGGACAAAACACTCTCATCTAAGGATCGACTGATTTCTATTAAGTAAAGCTCATCAAATAATGCCCATTAGAGCAATTTTTGAATGAGCGTCGAAAGTAATCCAGGCTTGCTTTGATTCTGCTTATTTCGCCCTGTGATTGGTCCGGAAAACTAGCGACACTTTCTCAACCAATCAGAAGCAGGACTGGAACCAATGGTTTTCCCGCGCTATATACGTGGTTTGGTTATTCATACTTTGAGATGTCATTTGCTCTTGAAGGTATTTTCCTTTCCAGTCCGGGTCATAACAATTTCTGGATACTTGATGACGTCACCAATATGGGTGTCGTAGTGGGACCTCGAGAAAACCCATTCATTACTTTATTCGAGCCCTAGCGACTTTGCTCCCTAGCCATGTCCCATGAAACCTTGCAAAATTACAGAAGACAAGCAATTGCACACACTGAGCAAAGAAATGATGGCGCTCGCGATGACGAGACAGAAAAATTCAGATGAAAAGTCGAGTGGAGGTGCTTGTTGCGAAGCGTTCGATTGAGGAATAACCTCTCTTTAGTTGAGGTTTTCAGGTATATAACATTTTTTTGTTTTGATTCCTGAAAAAAATATTTTTAAAAACTAGAATAAATTTTCTTCCAATTTGTCAAAATTCCAATCGAGTGCACGAGGTTTTTGTTCGAGTGCACGGATGTTGAAAGTCTGTTATTGTGCAAACTACTAGGTGGATTCCCTTTGTTCAGATCCATCGGAGTATCGCGTAAACCATACATTTTAACCATACGTTGTAGCCGGGCAATTTAGAGTAAAAAGACAATTATTTATCGGATCTTGTGTCGACTGTTATTATACGTTATAAGAAGGAGGGAAGGTCTCCTTCTTATAACGTACAGTAACAGTCGACGCAAAACCCACCAAATCGCTCAAATTTGCCATTTAGAGCCACAGAAACGACAATACACAGCAAGTGCTCGAGGTAGGTTTACATTTATTTTGAGCTTTAACTCAGACATTTCATGATATAAGTTTAAGACTCTTCAATATTCTCCCATACGTTCCTTTATGTTTCGAATAAACAACTCGTCGCTTCTCTGGGCTCCCTGTGGATTGACAAGGACACATCGAAACCAGTCGCTAGACATTTTAATTTACCTAACCATTCTAAGCAACACATGGCAATCTGCGGTCTTTCCTTACACTTAGGTAGCACGGAAAGCCGGAAAACTCTTGAACAAGAGCTCATCTCTCAAACCGGCAATCTAAATCCCACAGGTATCAACGAACGCTTTTCATTCCACTAATTTATTCGTGTTTTTCTCGTTGCCATGTTCCCACCAATCACGTAGCTCCTTTTTCTGCCTTTAAAAACACACACAATTCGCTTCGACGAAGGGCTAACGCTGGAAACGTCAGCTTTTATAATCGTAACGGTGGCCAATTTGTTAGCTCAATTGATAGAGCGCTGCACTAGTATCGCAGAGGTCAGTAGTTCGAATCCCGTACAGGCCTGATTTTTTTCAGGTCTGATTTTCGCTATTGCTTAAATAGCGCTATCTACTGCGAGGATCGTGCATCATATGTATCTAATACCGCAGTACAAAATATATGAACTTCATATATTTCATTGTATCTCATTTATCACTTTCACGGGTTTATTACAAATCAACTCAACGGCCTGCTCCCAGTTGGCTTGTTAGCTCAATTGATAGAGCGCTGCACTAGTATCGCAGAGGTCAGTAGTTCGAATCCCGTACAGGCCTGATTTTTTTCAGGTCTGATTTTCGCTATTGCTTAAATAGCGCTATCTACTGCGAGGATCGTGCATCATATGTTACTATTTCAACTTTCTTGATATATTCAAATTATTTCGTTACCCCCACCGACGCAGCCCCAAACAATTTCTTTATAAGCTTTTATTCACAGAGTAAGTTACTGTTTTCTTGCCTTATTGTTACTGTTTTTTAAAGGCTTGTTGGAATGAAAATTGATACATACCTATTTAAAAATCGGAGAGAACCAGGATATTGTCTTTTCCTCGAACAATACTGCAGAGAAATGAAAATATCCCGAGTCCGCGATCTTACATCTCTCGCCCCTATTATTATCAGTGCGCGTTATTTCGTTCAATCTTATGTAATTGGTTTTCTTGTAACCTAAAATAGGGAAATCATTGGAGAACCCACAGTAACATCAAGGCTGGCGGAAGAGCTTTTATTCTTGCGACGCGCTGGGTGGAAGGACCACAGCGTTACAAAGAATTTGCGCTGGAAAGAATCCGCTGTGCTCTTCCAGAATGCGAGGATAAATGAATCGTTTTGATGATATCTTATGTCCAGTCCTTAATAGCGAGTTTTTTTTCCGGCTTGCTACCACATTGCAACATGGCCTCCTCAAAAAAAAAAGAAAACTTCAGCTTCTTCTTGTTTCTAGTACCTCTCGGCCAAATTTGCTTTGTTTTGGTTTTGATCTCACTCGAAACCGATATCCAGAAATTGTTATGGCCCGAACTGCTTTCTTCTGATTGGCCGTTGTGACAGCTTTGGTTTTGCTTTACGATACCCACTCGAAAAAGCACCCTTTCTAGTCAACGGGAGTTCAACACACACGCAAAGCTTAGCTTTTTTATTCATAGGAAACCGCTGTGTTCAAAATATATTTTCTATCCCTTTAACCTCGATTCCTGTTAATTTTAACAAAATTCAAACATCTTCTAGGGTTGTTGCCCTGGTTTCCTTGCAAAAACCACAACAGATATGCAAAACACACAAAACAACCATACCCCATAAAAACCTGCAGAAGGCCAAGTTGTGATTACATGCCGCGTAATGCAAAGGTGTAACGCCCTGAGAATCAACAGCTCCAGCAGGGACTCCCCTCTGAACAAGGTAATTGGCTATCTGGAGGAAAACAGAACACCGACTGTGTCAGCTGTTATCAGTCATTGAAGTTATACGATTGAAATTCAATAAATATCAAACACATTGACCAGAATGAAGTGTTTACAAAGAGCAATTTCTCCTAATACAGTAATCAAACGACTGTCATGCTTTCAGATTGCAATGAGACACTAGCGCTCGGCTTTCCCCAAAAATCAATATCTCATGAACTACCCCATCATGCATTGCTTCAAAAATTCTTATGACCACGGATCAGTGTAACAGTTACAAATTCTAATAGCTGTTCTCTCTCTCTTATCCAACTGGAAAAAGTTTTCTGTTAGCGAATAAAATAAAACAAAGTAGGTTGAAGGAAATGAATATGAAGAGATCATAAGAAAAATAAGATATGGGTGGCACTCTCTATCTGCCTTATGGGTCATGAGCTAGACAGATTGTAGGAACAAAATTAAAGTTTCTTGAATGTTCTATCTAAAACTAACCGCCAAGAACAATCATGTTCTTGAAAATTTAGACGACGTATACAATTTTGTCTAAATACCTCTTCCACCACCTGTGTCCACAGTTTTGCAGAATGAATAGCCAACAAATGCAGCAGGTTGCGACCCTTCTTGTCAAGTTTCTGTAGAGAGGCATCTTTTCTTTGCTTTCTAAGCAGTGTCCATGCAAGGTCCAGCTTGTTGGATTCCATTGTTGCCTGAAAAGAAAACCCACCACGATGCAACAATTAAACTAAGAATCAAACCAGAGTTTGCGAATAAGAGGTAAAAGGCTGCACTGAAGAGCGCCAAGCAGTCACGTGCTGGGCAGTAGATGCTTTTGACAGTGACTTTTTTTGTATACGTTTTCTCCTGCACATTGCATGAAACATTTGAAGCACATTAAGTACAATTGCCTCCATTTGGCGTTAAAGTATGCACGTTAGCCTCTAGAAACACAACTTTCGCGGACAAAAACTTTTTCGCGCTGAATAGGGGCTACCGCATATATAATACCAAAAAGTTATCCCAGTCTTCACAATTTTTTTTTTCCGAACAAAACTTTAAATTTCTCCGTAATGATTTGTTCATATGTGTTATCACCTGTATAGCTTCTACAAAGTCCAAACCAGCCACTTCCAGCATCAAGTAAGCGATTCCCTGCCAGTTGTTGTCTACGACAACACGAAAAGCTGTCCTTATGTCAGGTTTGGGTTCCTTTAGGTCAACAACATTTTCCCATACCCACTTACACTTTTCCTTTCTGAAAACAAAATCAAATCAACAAAAAATTGGAAAGGATTTCTTCTATGAAAAGTCAAGAGAATTATGCCGATTACATCATCGTGCACAATACCCTTGTTCTCAGGAAAGTAACTTGCATCGGAGAAGAAAAGAGATCTGTAGTATTAGCAGCGAAAGATCAACTGCAACTTCACCGGATCAGATAAATTACTCACTCCTTTTCATAGTCAGTCCAATCCTGAGGAGTAAGAGGCTTAATAACAGAACAGGAGGCTGGTGCGTTACTTTGCATAAACATCATGGCACAGCTAAAAGAGAGAAGAAGGTCTCGAAGGAATGAGCGTTCAAGCCATTAAGTACTGACAAATACAAAGTACAGCACATTCTTTGTTTTCTCTCATAACAAAGCGTTCGAGTCTTACAGCGATTATCGTTCAAGGCACTCACTCAGAGTGGCAGGGCCATCTTGTGTGTCACTGCATCATTACCCTGTACCAGCTCTTTAAAGTCTCATCTGTCATGCGTAACGTATTTTCTCAATTAAACGCCCTGGCGTTTATTAAAGTTGAGTCATTTTGACTCGGCTCTTTTCGAGGCTGGCGTTTTTTTTTTCGAGGGTGACGGCTTTTTTTTTTGAGGCCGGCGTTTAGCTGGAGTCCGGGTTCACTCAAGAAAACATGACTTCCTTCCCCACTCATTAGTTTCTCTAATTTTTACCATCTAGCCAACCATGTTCAAGTTGCTACTCATTTACAAAGTCAAAACGAAACTACAACATCCCGTACAGCACTACAAACAATGTCGCACCGAACTGAAAGAACAGATTCCGTTTACGCCAAACTTTACTCATCACAATCGATTACTCAGAAAGTTAAGCAGTTACATTACCCATCGTGACTCTCGCGCAAAGCTAGCGACAAAGGCGTGTTGCCGTCGTTGTCTTTGATCTCCAAAGATGCTCCTTTCTACGAAAAACAAATGGCAATCGATGATACAATACAACCCACCCTGTAATATTTTACAAAAAATAGATCTGAGTTAACAATCAGAAAGACTTTTCAGCTTTTCTTTTCTTTGCTCGGTCGGCCGGGAGCAAACGAAAGAAGAAAACCCACGAATCAGTGAAAAATGAGCGAGAAAACCAACCGGTCAAAGGGTCTTCTTATTGGAAGCTATAACGGGTTTATGCAATTTGAAAAATTTTCTCTGTAATTCGCGTCATTCTTCTTAGTTTTTGGCGCAATGTTCGTATTTTTTTTTATTTCTATCCAACTAAACTAATAATTCATAGTTTCCCTAGCACTGGAGGTATGTCTGCAAGTCGAAGAATAACGCAACAAAAAATTATGACGTTAGCTCTAAATTGTATTGCGTAGTTTGTTGTGTAATTTGAACTAATAATTATATTAATAAAACTGATAATAAACTAATAATTCATAGTTTTCCCTTGAACGTTTATTCAAAATGTATTCTCCGAACCTAGCTTCTACAGATTTATGTCAAAGGGATGTTATATTTCAGTATTACGTTCTAAAGGTTACAATTTGTGAACACAAACTAAACGGTCTTCTTGTCTCCAAATGCTCCCCCTCCCTCCCCCCCCAGCACATAATAATGTTACTTTCTTTTCGAAAAATACTTAATTGTAGTCCTTCCAAATTTCAAGGGGATTTTGTTTACCTGAATTAGATTTAATGAGCAAATCGTGGCACCCCTGAGTGCTGCCCTGTGCAGCGGAGTCTGTCCAAACTTGTCACGATGATTCACTTGCGCCTTGACATCCTTTCCCTGTTCAGCCATCGCTTCACACAGCAAGCTCACGATAGATATTGGATCAGACATACTATAATCAGTGTGCCTGTGAAAACAAAAAAACAGATAAAATTAATACTCTCATACAGAATGGTTTCATGTTTCAAAGCAGCTTTACTTCAATGGTTAACAAAGGGTATTACCAACGGCACACCATTTTGAAACTATGAAAAGTTTGGTGTTGGAAAGTGAACAATATTGAACTATTGGGGGATAGACTCATAGATGACTTAACGGTTAACAACATTTTGTTCTGTAACATAAAAAAAAACAAACAAACAAACATACAAACAAACAATAAACATAACATAAAAAACAAAAGACCCTTGGGTAGGTCTTGATAAAGTTTACCAATAAAACCAAACAATCATCCCGTCTTGGTAAAGTTAATAAAGTTCACAAAATTCAAGTCTGTTTTGGGGAGAAGGGGCAGGGAAAGAGGGGAGGGAAAGGGGAAGGGAAGAGGGGAAGGGGAGAGGGAAAGGGAGGTTCGATTTCAGTACTATCGTGTTAGTATCTCAGACTCTTGACCTCTATTGCAGGTTGGAACAAGCGTATAACCCTTTATTAACTGGCCAGCTGACCTCTTTCCCATTTTTACAAAACCATAATAAAGAGGAATCCTTTCGTGTAAATCCAGCGCTACTGTGTTTGCTCCGTGCTTGATCAGCAAATCCTCCACTTCGGTGAGTGTCTCAAAGCCTCCAGTGGTGCAGTTAACCGAGTAATGAAGAGGAGTGCGCTTCTTAGGGTCCGTGGTATTCACATCAGCGCCAGCTTCGAGCAAAGCTTCACAAAGCTTTAAAGGCGTGGAATTGGTGTCTGTGGCGAGAAATGAGATCGAACAACAAGACAATCGTTCGCAATAGCACGTTTTATAGAAGGATTCAATGTGACTGAAAATTCATATTTGGTTTCCTTTTCTAGTCTTTATGCCTAAATTTTTTAAATTCATTTTCATATTCATCATTGCAAAAATTATTGATTGATAGATTGATTAATTACCTGTCTAAAAGAAGCAAAAACAGATGTACTCACCAGGTTGGTTGGTGACTGCCCATGACAAAGCAGTACGTCCAGAATCATCAGCGATATTAGGATCTGCTTTAGCATCTAACAAGGCTTGAAGGATGACAAGAGAAACGTTTGCTGGCCTAAAAAATGGAAACGTCATCACACATCACGCAAACCAACACTAATCATGACTCCTATAATAAGCTGACATCTAGCTAGGCAACTTTTTCATGATTTTTTCGGATGCTTTAAATCGATGAATGTGTTAGGAGTCATTATTCTTGTTCATAAAGAAAAGGAATTTCTACACCAAGACCCATTTATAACACACATGACAGAACACCATTGTTTTTACCGTGCAGCCAGAATCAGAGCGGTTGAACGTCCATCTTCTTTTACATTCAGCGATTTTATGTTTACATCAGCACCATACTCGATCTGGATTAAAGATGGAAAAATATCATCATCAATGGGGCAACCTTCCTACGTGGACAAATACACGATACACTTAAATACACGTTAAGATGTAATAATAATAATAATAATAATAATAATAATAATAATAATAATAAATCTAATTGTTACACGACTCGGGCAGTCAGAGGGCCAATAACTAAAATCAACCAATCAAAATGCTCTATTGCCGGTCAATATTCTCTAAGTATTGGACCGGGCACTGTCCCGAATGACACCGCTATTGTGTCCCTTTGAACTTCAGTCATATAATAAATCTCTTATTAACCAAGCTTGCTCGGGACCGTACTCGGTCTTTTTTTGTACGGACCTCGCTGCGCTCGGTCCGTACTCTCAAGACCTCGGGCCGATATTCTCCCAGTACGGCCCTCGCGCTTGGTTAATAAGATATATATAAACTCTAAATTAAATCAATTCAAATGATGATGGTTTTTGAGGAGAGGGGAAAACCGGAGTACCCGGAGAAAAACCTCTCGGAGCAGAGTAGAGAACCAGCAAACTCAATCCACTTATGACGCGGGGTCCGGGAATCGAACCCGGGACACATTGGTGGAAGGCTAGCGCTCTCACCACTACGCCAACCCTGCTCCCTACATGACAGCTGTTTCCCCGCCTGAACATGTATCGTTGTTGTCATGCGTACTGGAGCCCGTCATATTTATGGAGCACAGAGGATATTCTATTTTGTTAACCAGTTACTAGTGGGACGCGAGACGGAAGAGAGAGGGAGAAAGTGGATAATTCAAGGTCTACATTCAAAAGTATACCATAAGTTTAGCAGCTCCAGTATTTCCCCACTTCACTGCTAAATGAAGAGGCGTGCGCCCATGACAGTCAAAGGAGTTGATGAGCGACTTGTCTTCTTTCACGTATCCAAGAATTAACTCCAGAAATGAATAGAAATTCCAGCTTTCATAAACGAGAAAGTGAAGGCACGAGAAGAGTCCTGAAAACAGAGAGATTATGTCACCTCATTACGTACGTGACCATTTTTTTAAAGAAGCTAGTTGCGGTTTCGACCTCTCCTAAAATACCCTAATAATTCCTCGAAATTCCTATCAGTTTTCTTCATCTATGAACACCCAGCTTTCATTTTGGTCTACCCTTCCCATCCAAGACTTTATTCCGTATTAATAGACTAACAGCGTCATTCAAGATGAAGGTAACTTTGCAATTGTCACACAAAAAAGACTTAAATACTTCTTTACTTAAATTCTTGTTGAAGTAATTTGAGTTTGAGGTCGTTCAATACAATACATTTTCATTGGGTGAAATATTACCAACCTGTTACACCGTAATCTTCAGCAGCGTCTTTTACCGTAAAAAAAAAAAAAATCGAAATTATGAATTAATGAAATCAAAATAAATAAAACTGAGATCTGAGAAAATCGAGATTGAAGAAGCTGGTAAAATTCGGCGCTTAATTTTGAGCCTACGGATTCATGTGCAAAGTGAAATATTTCAAACATTTTTGAAATATTCATTCGTTAGTAGGTCCTCTAGGTGCTGCAAAAAATAACTACATGTGAAGGAGATATGGTCTATCCCACCCCTGACAACCTTGAAACGAACAAAAAGAGTTTGTGATTAAAACATTTACTTTGACGCATCATAAAAATCTGTTAATACGCATATTGAAACCAATTTGAAGTGGCCAAAATCGTTATGTAATGTACCATTAGGACTGACGTCTTTTGCACCATCCGAAGCAATGTGATTTTCATCAATGTCATCTTCATCGTGATCAGTATCATCACTGGATTCAACACTGTTATCACTGTCGGTCATAATCGGCGTATTACAGTTGCTGACATCATCGCTCCACGAGCTAGGCTTTCTTTTCGAGCCCACTTTTTTACCTTCTTCCTTTTTCAAACCAAATGTTTCAGGATTCCTTAGCCGTACCTACGAAAAAAAAAAACAGCCCATAGTGACAGAGTGAGTTTCAAATGGGTGTCGTAGAACCAGAATGTGAGTGATAATTAGCAACAAATCATAACAAAAAAAAAATACCACAAGGATCCGACGAGAACTTGACTTAAATATACCGTTCACGTGATCAGTCGCAAGCGTTGCAAAAATAGAAGGGAGCAACTTGCCAGTCATGTACGGTACCTGTTCGTCTGAGAGCATGACGCGAGAATTCTTAGAGCAATCACAGACTGCAACAAGTTTTATAGGCATTTCTCTTAAGTCAAGCTAAGTCTCACACACGGTAAAATTACGTCAAAAAAAAAAAAAAAAGGTTAATGTCCATGTTCACTTACATCTAGGGCTTTGTTTATCTTCTCAACTCTTGCCTTAACGTTGCAGCCAAACTTGTCAATCAGAGTCTGTTTATCAAGATGAACAAAACAATTTCAGAGAAATATGTGCAATCCAACATACATCGCACACTCGTGGCTGTGGTGGTCGTCACCAGAGATACTTTGTATAGAAGGAAAAAAAAATTAAAATATTCTCATTATTCAGCAAGAGTGTTTTTCACCCGCGGGAAAAGACTGGGCCTTGAGAACTGAGAGTTCTGCAAGGGATCTGACACTGATTACTAGTACCAGACCTCGGCAAACCTCTCCTCCTACTCCTCTTAAATCTTCTCGCAGGCGGAGAAACCTGCGTCCTGCTGCGCTAACATAATGAGGGCCTGGTTTACGCCCACTGTACGAGAGCTCAGCAGACTTTGAAGTTTCGAAACGAGGCTAACGGGTCACACAGGTAAAACTTTCAAGTAAAATCGAAGCAAACGGCTACGTTTGGAGGCATTTTTATTCATTTTCTTAAGGATACAGCATGTTCTCGTCATGGGTAGACATTGTATTGCGTACGGGTGCAACAGTCATTTCAGTGAATCGGCAACTGACGAGATCCACGAGATTAGAATCGAAACCGCGGTATTGCCAAACACGTTCAACTATCAGACTAGGGGCGAACAAAACGCACATAAAAAACCTCTCAAATAAAGAAC